CTGCCTGTCCAGACTTGGACATGGTCGACAAGGTTATCCAAAATCTGGCCGATCTCCTCGGCCCTTCAAGCGTGTGGAGCCAGCGGTTCAAGTACCTGCAGCGTGTCATCCACAAGACCAACCTTGAAGTTCAAGGAATCCACGCGATTCGGTGGCTGTCCAGGAGCGAGGCAGTCAGACGCCTCTGTAAGGTCCTCGGTGCTGCCATCGTTTTACTGTATGAGTATAACCATGAGCTGTACGAGGTTGTCATCTCATACAAGTTTCAGTTTTGTCTCTTCTTCCTGGCGGACGTCCTCGCCATCATGAACGAGCTCAACCTCAAGTTTCAGAAGCGAGAGGTGAGCCCTTGCATGTGAGCTTGTGGTATGTTCTTTCACAATCAGCACTAACATTCTGCCCCTTGATTTGCGCCCCCATGTTTCCACCACCCCACCCCCCCTCCCTGCCTGACCGCATGCGGATCTCACCGAGATAACACAGGACGTCGACGAGGCGGTGGGGGATTCTCGACACCGCTACTTGGAGTGCAGCGGGGTTTTCGGTGCTAACGTAGGCGGCACGTGGCTGTCGGCTTTCTTAATTGTGTACGGGCGAGGGGGGGCGAAGAGAGTGAAGGTGCACGGCGTCGACAAGGACGGGCAGCTGGTGACGCACACGTACCAGATGCACGAGCGGCAGATCAAGGGGCACGTCTACCAGAGCAACTACCGGGACTGCGAATTGTACTACCGGGACTGCGAATTGTTGTGCGCGAAGTTCGCGAGGGGGAGCGTGACGAACCTGCTGGAGCGGCTGGACGACCTGTCGAAGCTCGGGCCGACGAAGCTGTTTCGGCCGGGCAAGTGGCCGCGGCTTCGGATGATGAGGGAGAAGAAGACGAGGGAGTATCTCCATGGCTGCAGTGCTGTCTTCGACGACAAGCTCCCCGGGTTCGATTTGAAGGAGGCGGAGAAGGAGCTGGCAACTTGGGCCCCGATCATGCAGAACCACTACAACGAGGAGGGCTTCTACCAGGGCCTGACGAACTACCTTGGCAACACGGAGTCAAGCAGGTAAGTCGCACCTCCAAAGCACGCTGCTCGGTCTGCCTGTGTATGATTGTTTTTGCCAGTTTGACCACCATGTCTGTCTATTTTTGTATGTACTTCTATTGTTCCTTGCCCACCATGCTTGTAGTTTATAATTAATTCTATTGTTCCACGCCTCTTGTGTGTGGTTGTTCCATAAACATGCGCTGGCCCAACCTCATGCTTCTCTGGCAAGCATGCGCGGTGTTACCATTCTCAACTGTGGAGTGCGAGCGTGGTTTTTCCAGGTAGAACGTGATCAAGTCTTGGGTCCGTGGTGCTCTGTGCAATGCCCGCCTGGGTGAGCTGATGATGATTTCGCTGCTGAGATACGACATCAACTCGTAGGAGGCGCTGGAGCTGTGGCACGCAAAGAAGAGAAGACCAGCGAAGTCCGTGGTGTTCGCATCACAAGAGAGGAAGCGCAAAGGCAAGGCTCTGCTGGAAGAGGCAGAGCAGGATTCTCTAGTGCCATACTACTTAGGAGAGGATTGGGCTGAGGAGGAGGAGGAGGAGGAGGAGGAGGGGGAGAGGGATGGTGGACGTGCAATAGCTATAGAAGACAACCCCTTTCTGTCGGATGATGAGGCGGAGGATGTCGTCGCTGTGGATGTGCCAGAGTTCTAGCTAGGCTAGGAAATTAGACTAGGTGTTGGCTAACTGCCAGAATGTTATAAATAATTGTGAGTAAATGGTGAAATGACGACTTTGATTAATACTTGTGAACCCTGAAGAAATCAGACTTTAGAGTCACTGGATCCTGAGAAATCAGACTACCATGGAAACTGAAACCTGGCTTCTCAGACTGCGGAAATTTTTTTGGGGCCAAAATCAGAGTGGGTTTTTTTGAAACGTCAGCCCTGCTCTCCCTCCTCGGTCCTGTTCTTCACCCCCCCTCCTCTATCCTGTTCGTCGCTCCCCCTCCTCTATCCTGTTCTTCGCTCCCCCTCCTCTATCCCGTTCTTTGCTCCCCCTCCTCTACCGTTCGCCTCTCCCTCTCGCTCTACTGTTCGTCGATGCCCCTCTTTCCTGTTTGTCGCTCCCCTCGTTACATTGACTCTGATTCCCGATTCCAATCCAGATTCATATGTCTATAATTTGCTAGGGAATGTGTACTGCCGCTCTAAACAATCATCCTAGTTGGATAGTACTAGACACTGTGTTTTTTAGATTAGTCAGACTATGCATCTCAATTAATCTGTAAATTCATGCTGGTTATTTTGTTTTCCTTGCAAATTTAGACAAGGGGAAAAGTTTTCTTTGATCGTGAAAAGTGTTTCATACAAGCTGAACAAAACTAGTCTGACTAAACAGACACGTTATTTTTGAAAAGAGAACCCTGCCGGTAACCATGTGAACCCCCTGATGGTTTTATATTGTGCAAGGGATGGGCTCAAAGAGGAAAAATGGAGTCAATTCAATTAGCATGCAATGTGAGAGATAGAGGGGAGGACACTACACTGTTTATGGAGAATGGCTGCCTGGGTTAACGAAACACTGGTTTACCACCGGAAACGTTCCTTCCTTTGGAAGATGGAGTGTGTGACAGGTGTGTGCCTGTCAGCAAATGGTTTGAGAGAAACACGCGCCAACCCAACACTGATGCTGTCGTGGAGTCGCAAAGCGATGGACAGGACGTGGCTGCTTTGTTCCGCTATCCCGCCAATCACGGTAAGTACTTCCCTCGTTTCTGGTTCGAACTTTCCACGTCATCTGAGAGCCGCGGGTATTTTTGCTATGTCATTCACACGTATGGTGACGCGGAAACGACCCGAGAAAATTACGCTGGCTTGGCGCGCCATACCTTTTGCTTCCACCATCACAGGTTCGCCACGGCCGACCACGCGCACTTGAGCAGAGAGCTGCTCTCGTGATTTTGGCATCTGTGCCAGCTGGGTGGATACAGTCAATCGACGCCCCCCTTTTACAGTTTCCGGAGGAATACGGACCTCTACTTTTCACAGAATCTGGGAGCCGGAGAGCCATTCAGGGATTCTCACCGCCCCAGCACGCGGCGGTTGTCGCCACGCTGGTTTCCCAGATTGAACTGATGGCTGCGAAGCAAAAGGACGCTCGGAAAAAAACCTGCTTGTTGTTGTCGGCATTTCTCGTCTGTAGGTGTGTACATTCGCCGTCACTGGCCCAAACAAACCTTTGGCGCATCAACATTTTCCCTCTTCGTAGGGGAAAAACAGTAGGAAAGCGAGTGTGTTCCACGTACAGTAAATACGTAGCGATTACAAACGTAGCTCGTCAGAGTCGCACAAGATATGAGGGTGCCGGATATTCAATCGCAAAAGTAATTCGCATTCCCTCGCCACTGGCAAGTGAGGCTTTCGCACGAGCACACGGCAAAAAGGGTGGATATTTGTGGTGGGGGGGGGGGTCTTTTGTGGCGATGTTTGTTTCCAGTGCGCGACTCTTTTGAGGTGATCATGCGACTACGGTGCACAATTACCTGGTGACGAAACTACGCCGGCAATGACTTGTCCCTTGCTTTATGTTGGTTGCAAACTCAATTACAAGTCATGTGCTATTAGTGCATCAACGGCTGGAGCAAGCATTTCACATGTGCATTTATTCCATACAAACAAACTCGACATACACACGGATTTATGTAATCAGCCAATCTAAAAGGGTACACCTCTGTGCGTCATTAATGCATGACGCCCAAAAATAACCATTCCACAATCTAATGACCCCCGCGGAGAGGTCAACGACACCATCGATCGCACCTATGCGGCACGCTCCAACCAACGATCTTGTAATTATCCACCAAATCACAAAATGACCTTGGAGCAGCAAAATAGCGAATCCGACAATGCAAGGTGCGATGACGGAATCCGTCATGAAGACGAGACGTAATCCATCGTCTGTATGCAACTGTATGTAGGCAACAGTGTATGCAATACATGGAGTTTGGATGACTTAAGTTGTAGTTGTTGTGTTTGCATTGTTTGTTATCGATTTATGTTTTGGGTGTTTCAATTGTGTTGTTGTTGATGCGATGTCCATAATAGCATGCATTGATGAAACCGAGCTTTGAAACTCACTGCAAAAACTTTGCAACGTGCCTATTTGTACATAGTCGGGGAATAAGACAGGCTTCCCGCCTCTACAAGACAGAAGCGATGAAGCTCCTACAACCTGGGAAGCGATTTAGGCATTTTTGCCTGGGTCGCATGGGGGTATGTGCTAAAAGCAAAATCCAGCATTTACAGAGCCTGCACGAATAGAAAATGACGTGTAATCGCTAAAGCTCTACTGTACTTTTACTTCGGCTAGTTTCCTGAACATCCGGCAAAAATAACAGGTGCTACAAACACTGTTTTGCAGCCTCCACGAACCCTCCCCGGCTTGTTCTGATGCAAACGGTCGCCACCAATGAAATCGAAGCAGGCACAGCACGGCCTTTCGTGCACCAATGAAGGTTCGCCACCAATGAGCGGAGAGCATGTGGACATCTCGGTCAAACTTGGGCCCACAAAGAGCCCAGAAAAGTGCGAATCACCGACGGGGTCGCGCTTTTGGTTTGGAGGGAAAGCGCGGAGCGCAGTGGACAGCCATTGTGACAGAGGGCTCGAAGCGCGCATTGAGGATGCCAAATTGCCAATGTGGCGTGGGCCGTGGCTGTTTGATTTCGTGAAATGGGGGAGGTAGCCCAGGTCTGGTGGACCGTGGTGATTTGCGTCGCTTGTACCGCGGAACACGCAATGCAACAAGACGGAGAAAAGATGCTTCCAGCCTCCACCACCACAGGCATTTTGCACGCGCATCTTCCTCGCACGTCGAGCCGCGCCGCAACCTACGCCCACAGTCGCTTCGCTTCACTTCCCTGCCTGTCTGCCAACTTCAACGAACACACCTGCACCTTTGAACCGGCAGCCAACTACAAAGCGGGAGATCGACGCTCTTTTCTCTTCAAACGCGTTGCTTTCGAAGCTCCACAGATCTCAGTGCACTTCTCACGCACAATCACGATCAGTCTACGCCAAGGCGCAGCCTTTCGACTCGTGCCTTCGGCTTTCCCGGTAGCATCGCCTCAAGTTACACCCATCGACCTCCTCGCATACTGGTAGTGTTCCTAGAATCCACCAAACAGACCACACGCCATAATTCGTTCGTTGCACGTCGGAACCAACCAACGTCTTCCTCTCCATCGTTCGATCGATCGCTAGCACAATCTCCCTCGTCCAACGTTTCCCCGGCAGTGCTCCGCACGCCCGTCTCATGCACCTCCGTCTTCCTCTCGCGTCCGCCACCAGCCATCTCCCTCCGCCAATTCGATCCGCGCGCAACCGATCCCGAACCGCCGCTGTAAGAACCTGTGGCCCATTCACAGGGCTCGATCCGCGACTGAATTCCCACGTAATTTCCGCCGCAACGCGCTCCGTCGCCTGCGTTCCCATCCGCGGCGTCTCCAGCTCGTGCCGCGTCTCAGCTCAGAAACTCTCACCGCACTCGTCGCCGCAACTCACGCTGCGATCCGTCACTGCTATGTCCCAGTGGTCCCAAGAGGCCGCCCGCGCACCCGTCGGCGGTGCGATCGGCTCGCAACCGCGAGGCGGCGCGACGCGGAATAATGTCGTGTCTACTACCCGAACTACTAGTTCTGGTAGTAGCGCGACTGGTGTTGGGAAACGGAGTCGACTCGCAGCTTCCGTCGCCGCATCCGGCGGGTGGCGAGTTCGCGGAAAGGGGCCGACGATCATGCTTCCCGCGCCGCGGTACTACCATCAATCGTTGCCACCTGCGGCGCGGCTGCCGCGCCATGATCTCAGCTGGTCCTCGGCGTTCCCCGCCGGGGTTTCCGGCGCCTCTTTCGGCGGTGGTCTCTCGTCGAAAAGACCCCTTCCGAGACGGCTAACCTCAGAAGATCAGGACAGCTATCAGCAGCAACAGCAGCAGCAACGGCAGCAGGAACCTCGATTGTACCGTCTCTCTCGAGCGCGCACCCGCCGAACGGTTTGCTGCGCAACTGACGGGAGCGACGAGCCCGGAACCGGTGGCGGATCCAGCAGCTGCGGAAGCTCCGGCCGCCGCAACAGCAGCTTCAGGCGCAATAGCAGCGCCGGTGGGGCCAGCGGCAGTAGCAGCGGCCGCCGGAGCCTCGACGGCGGTGCCGGCGCGGCGTCTCTAGCGCCTTGGGCGGCGAACTCGCTACTCCTCCATGGCGGAATCATTCAAAGCGCGCGCCGCCAACATCTAGCTCCGGCGCTCGCTCCGTCAAACGGCTTCAGCCACGGGCGGAGGCGGTCGCGCCGCTGGTTAGTCCGCGCCGCCGCCGGCCTGCGGTCGTCTAGTAACGCCACGCTGGCAGCCGCCCTCACGCGGTTTATTCCGAACGTGTTGGACTCGGAGCGCGGATGCGCCGCTGCCAGTAGCTCGATCTGCGGCGGCGGCGGCGGCGGCGGTGGCCCCGCGGACGGATTGACGCCTTCCGCGCAAGGCGCTGGCGAGCCTGGCGCGGGGGAAGATTGGCGGGAGAGGCTCGGAGGCGGTGGCGGAGGGGGCGCGGTGAGCAGCGGAGCGGGCGGGAGGAAGAGCAGGCGGAGGCGGAGCGGCGCGTTCAGCCGCGCGCGGCGCAGCGTGGTTGCTGCCGCCGCTGCAGGGCGTGCTGCGTCTCTTGACTTGGAACGGGTTCACTTGGAGGGCAGAAAGAAAAAGGAGGATAAGGAGAGGGAGAAGGGTAAGGGGGCGAAGGGGAAGAAGGAGGAGTGGGAGACTAAGGAGAGTGTATCGGGTGAAGAGGACTGCTCGTTAGAGAAGAGGTTCGGGGACTTGTTGGCTTGGAGAAGCTCGCCAAGTGCGGAACGAGGGGCGGCGAATCGTGGAAGACGCGCGTCGAGTCGAGTCATCTGGACCGTGTCTGCCCCACCAGCGGACACTGCCCGTGGTGCTGCTGTGCCGAGACCACAGCAAGGTGGGTACTACCCACTGTCTCCTCCCAGTGGTACGCCCAGTGGTACCACTAGTACTGGGAGTAGCGTGCAGCGTGGGAGCACCGAGTGGCGGGCGCTGTTCAGCGAGTGGAGGGCGCGCTTTGAGGCGCTCCACGGGAGCATCCGCGCGGAGCTGGGCGCGGACCGCATCCCCGACTTCCCCGCGCCGTTCGTCCTGGACGTGTCTCCGGTCCTGCCCGCTCGGCTCGGCCGGGGCTCAGCAGAAGCTTGGCGCTGGTCACGGGCGAGCGAGGAGCAGGAGGAGGAGCAGAGGAAAGTGAAGCTGAATGGTAAGACCAACAAGAGCAGCGGCAGCAAGAGGAGCAGCGGTGGCGGCACCGAGGGAGGGGTGTCAGACGAGTCTGCCGCAGCAGACGCAGGAGGAGCAGAAGAAGCAGGAGGAGCGGGAGGAGCGGGAGGAATGGGAGGAGCGGTGGTGGGAGGGGTGTTGCTGCTGAACGTGCTGGCGGCGCTGTACGGCACGTGCAGTGTGGCGTCCAAGGTGGCGGACAGCCAGGCGCAGGACATGCCCGCCTCGCTCACTGCTGCTGTGCGCTTCATTGCTGCTGGTGAGTACCGGGTGCGGTGCTGGTGAGGGCTGTGGTGAGGGCTGGGGAGGGGGTCTTCTAGTGGCTCTGGCGTGTGGTAATAATTGGGTTTGTCTCAGAGTTTTTCTGCTGCTTCTTTTGCTCTCCTTTAGTACCTTCTCCTGCTTCCCTCCTCGCCTCGTTCTGACCCTCGCTCTGCGTTTCCCTCCTCCTGCTCTTCGTGCTGCAGCCGTGGCATTTGCTCCTGTCCTCGCCTCCACTCAACTGGGGAGCAGGGGGGGGAAGGAAGAGAAGGGAGAGGAGGGAGAGGGGGGAGAGGAGGGGAAGGGAGAGGGGAAGGGAGAAGAGGCGTGGTGGAGGGATGGGCTGCTGTGGGGAGGGGCGGAGTTGGCCGGGTGGAGTTTCCTAAGCTCCATGCTGCTGGCGCATGCCAGCACGGACAGCAGCAGTGTCAGCGCAGCCATGCTATACAGCTTCTCGGTACGCCAGTCAGTGCTTGCTGCTGTGCTGGCTGTGCTGTGAACGCCTATCAGATCAGATCGTTTCATGCTGGTTCGTGAACTGTTTTGGGGTTTCTTGGCTTACCAACAGCTCCCTCACTTCTACCTTCTACCTTCTGCCTTGTACCTCGGCGTGCCTCGTGTGCTCTTGCGCTCCTGTGCTCTTGTCCTCCTGTGCCCCTGTGCCCCTGTGCCCCTGTGGCCCTGCAGATCCTCTTCCTCCCGCTCATGCACCTCTGCACTGGCCGCTCCCTCCCCCGCTCCGCCCTCCTCGCCGTGCTAACAGCGCTCGTCGCCATGGGGGTGCTCAACGAGCAGAGCCTCGCATCTGCATCCGCATCCGTATCCGCCGCCGCTCCCCTCGCCGCCCTTCCCCCCTCGGCCCTCCTCCCTTCCTCCTCCTTGGCTGTCGCCGGCGGGCTTATCCCTCTCCCATCCCTCTCGTCCCTACCCTCTCTGCCCACCCTCCCCTCGTTCTCTCTCCCGCGCTCCATCGACCTGGCGGCCATGGGCGGGTCGCTCATAGCCGGGCTACAGATCTTCCGCTCCGAGGCCCTCACAGCGCGCTTTGACCCGCTTCGCCTGTCGGCCGTCCAGGCCGGCTCCCTGGCTGTGCTGGGGGTGGCCTGGGAGGCTGTGTATGTGGCCATGGGTGGGTCCCACTCCCATGCTCTCGACCCCTCTGCTGCTGCTGCTTCTTCTTCTTCCGCTGCTGCTGCTGCTGCCGCAGTTGGAGGTTTCAGCACAGAAGCAGCAGCCGAGGGGGTTGCGGAGCTTCTAGATCAACTGCAGCATCTGCCATGGCTACCGCTGATCTACGGCGGTGCCGTGGGGTCCGGGCTCTGTGCGTGGCTGGAGCTCTGTGGCCTTCGCAAGGTGCCTGCGTCTGTTGCCATGCTGGTTTACACTACCATTCCCCTCTGGGGCGCGCTCTTTTCTTTCGCTGCCCGCGGCGAGGTGCCCGGGTTTTCGACTGCCCTGGGAGGGGGGATGATAGTGCTGGTGAGCTTGCTGGCTAAGGGAATGCTGGTGGAAGGGGAGAGGGGGAGGAGCGAGGGGGAGGGTGGGGGTGAGGAGAGGGAGGGAGTGGGATCTGGTGGTGCAAACGATGGCGGGATCGAGGAAGCAGACGAAAGGGAGAGGGAGAAGGGAGGCGGAGGGAAGGCAGTGGGGCTGAAATGGAAGAAGGCATGGGATTCGATTCTGTCCAGGAGTGGTGGCGATACGGATGTGGGTAGAGAGCTGCAGCTAGTGAGCGGAAACAAAAAGGACAGGGAGAGAGGTGGGGCGGAGGAGGAGGAGGATGATGACGAGGAGGATGAGGAGTGGGAGGAGGCAGAGGAGGGTGAGGAGGAGGGCAAGCAGGGAGGAGAGGGAGTGGAGGAGGGAGGGAAGGAGGGGGAGAAGAAGGAGGGGGAGGAGGAGGGGGAGAAGAGTGAGCAGCTGTCAGCAGCGCTGCTGACATCGCAGCTCAAGTTCCCCTTCTATGCAGCCCAGGCTAAACACGTGCTGCTCAAACTCAAGGCCAAGCTCGGAGCCACCAAGACTATCGCGCTCGCACTCCCTTCACTGCCCTCCCTCCCCTCCCTGCCCTCCTTCCCCTCCCTCCCTTCCTTCTCTCACTTCTCCTTGGCGCCTGCCTCCTCGTCCTCCGCCTCCTCTCTCCCTTCGCTCGTAACGCTGCCATCTCCCGGCGCCTCGACCGCTGCATCTGCAGCCATCAAGAGCGCTGCTGCTACTGCTGCTGGTGCTGGTGGTGGTACCAGCAGCTGGAAGAGTCTTTTGGCAAGGGCTTCTCCTACTTCTTCTGGTGGCGCCTTAACCACTGGGCCTCTCCCTTCCTCCCATGGGGCTCCCCTCTCCGTCTCATCTGCGTCCTCCTCTCACTCTTACTTGGCGTCTGGAGGACACCCGGCAGTTGCTGCTTCGTCCCATGCCCCTGTTGCCTCTCACACCCCTGCTGCCATAGCCTCATCTGTTCCGAGTGCTGCTAGTAAGCACGCTGATACCACGACCACAACCATCACTACCACCACCACCACCGTTACCACCACCGCTACCACTGCCACTGCCACTGCAACTTCCAGTACCACTGGTACCGCTGCCACTGCAGCTTCTGCGCCTCACGCCTCTGGAAGCATTGAAGCCCTGCATACAGTCACATCCGGTACTGGAGCACCTGGTGCTGCCACTGCTGGTGCTGCTGGTGCTGCTGGCGCCACTGCTGCTGGTGGTGCCAAGGGTGCTGCGGGTGCTGCTGGTGCTGGTGCTGCTGCTGGTGCTATCGGTGGCGAAAGTGGAGGAGCAGGAGGTTCAGGCGGCATGTGTGCGGTCTCTGGCTTTGCCTCCTCGTCTTCCTCCCTCTCCTCCTCCTCCTCTGGCTCTCTCCAGCCCACTGCAACACCAGAACTGCACATCACCGCAGCTGCTGCCTCCCCCGCTGCCTCCACCGCTGCCTCCTCTGCTGCAGTCCCAGTCCCAGATGTGACTCCTCCTCCTCCTCCTCCTCCTGTTAGCATTGCTGCGTCTGCTGCCGTGCCCAGCAGTCCCCCCACCGCTAGTCCTCCTCCTCCTCCCCCCCCTGCCTCGCCCCTGAGTGTCCCGTCGACGGCAACGATCGCTGCAGCGGACGGACTCACTCCCATTCCTCCCTCCACTCCGTCCACTTCCACTGCTCTCCCCACTCCCGCCCCCGCTGCTGCTGCTGATGGTGTTGCCTCTGCTGCTGCCAGCGCCGGCTCCTCCCTCTCTCCGTCGTCCACTCCTGCTGCCACTGCTGCTGCTCCTGCCGCCGCCACCCCTGCCGCTACCTCCGCCCCTGGCGATGCTACAGTGCACTCCCTGCTCTCTTCCCCAGACCCCCTGTCCCATACAGCCAATGCTGTGTCTAAGATTGCTTTTCATGCCCCTCTTGTCCCTCCTTCCTCTAGTGCCGACGCTCTGACAATTAAGCTGCATGCATCGTCTGCGCTTATGTCGGCTGCCTCAGCTGCTGTTTCCTCTTCTACCGCCCCTCCTGCTGCTTCCTCTGTTGCTGCATCCTCGTCCGCTCTAGGTGCAACCCTGGCGGGTCCATGCGGGGCTACGGCTGCTGCTGCTGCTTCTGCTGCTGCGACAGCAGCAGGAGCAGGCGCAGGGGGGGGAGTGGGAGGTGGAGGAGGAGGGGTTGGGGATATCGCCTCTGTGGCTGCTGTTGCTGCTGCTGGTGCGATGCATGTCATGGAAGGGGCAGCATCAGCAGCCTCAATGGCAACAGCTGCAGTGGGAGACATGGTGGCTTCATCTGCTGCTGCTGTCATGGGATCTGCTGCCGATACAGCTGCTGATGCCGTTGGCAAGATTGCTCATACTGGTATGCCTGCTGCTGCTGCTGCTGCTGGTGCTTTGGAGGGTGTGGCTGCTACAGCTGCAGCAGCAGCAGCAGCAGGCATGGCAGGAGCGGTAGGAGTGGCAGGAGCAGCAGGGACTGCCGCAGTGGCTGCTGGAACAGCAGCCGTGGCAGCTGTAGCGGCAGCGGCAACAGATGTTGCTGCTGCTGCTTCTGCTGCTGCTACAGCCTCTCCTGCGGTAGATGTGTTGGGGACTGTGGCCTCTTCACCTTCAGTATCCCCTGCTACTGCTGCAGAGACTGCTCGTGCTGTTTCGTTACTGAGTGCTCCTTTTGAGCTGTTGGGTACACTTGATATGGGAGCACTTTCGCGTGGGATATTGGAGCATGCAACCATGCACTTGTGAGGACATCTGGTTTGGTAGAGGTTGTCTGTATGGTCAATGCGCCTTTTTGTCTGTATAGTCAATATTCCTTGTTCTGTCTACTATATAGTGGGATGGGATTATTCACACCGTACTGTATGTTACTATGTATAGTCCCTGTATGCAAGCCCTATAATCATGCCACGTTGAAATACATTTTTTGGTGTAAACTGCATATTTTGCAACTTCAGGACAAGTTGGGCCCACTCCTTCCTAGTAATGCAGTGAGTCATTAATTAGAACACACATAGACAGTAAATGAACCCTTACACAGCACCTCAACACATTATATATTGTACACCACTACGATGTCCAATGTAATCCGGTAAAACAGTGTACATCCATCCTTGTCATACCGATACTTGTCAAAATAAATATATTTATATCTATATGTGTGTAGGCTACATAGATGCACTACAGTTTTGGTTCTTACTGTAGAGAGGACAACCCACTTCTTGTACCTCTCTCTTTTTCTAGTCTCCCTCCTCTTTTCTCACTATTTTCTCCTACCTAGCTAAACCCTTCTCGTGATATGGTATCAGAGCAGGTTGATCTTGCTGAGCCTTCTCCTCACGCTTCCGCAGCATCCTCTCTCCCCTTCTCTCACTTTCGCTGCCTCTTCGTGCTGCAATGGCAGCCTCGATGCGCTGCCGTGGCGGCCTCGATGCGCTGCCGTGGTGGCCTCGACATGCTGCCATGGCGGCCTCGTCGCGCTACTGTGGCGGCCTCGATGTGCTGCCATGGCGGCTTCGATGCGCCAGTGCACGGACGGCTGCGGTCAGCGCGCTGGTTTAGCACCAGCCAGCACGCCCGCACACCAGCCAGCTCGCCAGCTGGTGTCGCCGCTGAAGATCCCCCCCCCCCTCCTCCCTGCCGCAGCTGCTAGCGGTCTCGTGCCGTCGTCCCCCGTCGTAGCAGAGCCGATGCCATGCCGCCATGTGCCTCGGGCACCGCCGCCGCTGCCGCAGGTGCTGCTGGCTCCGCCGACACCTGCTGCCGCCACTGCCGTTGCCCCCACTGCTGATGTCGCCGCCTCTCACGCCGAGGGGCCGACACGCTGTCGAATTCCACAGCTGCGGCTGGGTATGGGGGTGCTAGGGCTTGGGGGTGCTGGGTGTGTGGTAGTGCTGCCCTGGCTCTTGCCTCTGTGAGTAGTCTTACGAGAGGTTTTAGCTAGGTAGGAGATAAGTGGCGAGAGAAAAGAGGACACCAGAGAAGAGAGGGGGAGCAAGAGTAGAGATGTCCCCTCTACAGTAAGCACAATTACTTTGTAGAACACTTACCAAGCTTACACAGCTAAATATTTAGTATATATGTTGACAATTAGAGCCTACCTAGCCTAGGGGGTGTGTCAACATATATATATATATATATATTTATCTATATGTGTGTAGGCTAGGTAGATGCACTACAGTTATGGATCTCACTGTAGAGAGGACAACCCACTTCTTGTACCTCTCTCTTTTCTAGTTCCTTTTTTCTCTCGCTATTTACTGTCAACAAATATATTTGTATAGATTAGCTATGTCATATTTGTTTATAGCCTAGTCAGTTTAGTTCTTGGCTAGCACAACCCTAGTTTTGTATCTCTCGACATTTTCCCTCAGCCCATTGATTCTCTCGATAACCTAACATGGTATAGAGCTAGGTAGTTTCCGCATCTCACGCTTCCGCTAGTGTATATTTTTTATTTTTGCACCTCCAGCTCTCGAATTTCGCGCTTCGTAGGTTCCCCCCCCCCCCCCAGCGCTCAATCGTTTCGTACGCCCGCTGGCCAGCCAGCCCACTAGTTCGCTACTAGCTAGTAGCCGCCAGCTCGCTCCCTAGCTCGCCAGCGCCAACTGCGCCAGCCTGCCGCCACCTATTTCGCACCTCGCTCGTCAGCTAGCCGCCAGCAGACCCCGCCGGCTAGCCGCCAGCAAAGCTCGCCAGCTAGCCGCCAGCAGAGATCGCCAGCTCGCCGCCAGCAAAGCTCGCCAGCGCGTCGCCAGCAGAGCTCGCCAGCTAGCTGCCAGCACAGCTCGCCGGCTCGCTGTGAGCAAGGCTCGCTTGCTCGTCAGCTAGCCTCCAACAAAGCTCACCAGCAGAGCTCGCCAGTTAGCCTCCAGCAAAGCTTGCCAGCTCGCCGCCAGCAGGGCTCGCCAGCTTGTAGCCAGCAGCATCCGCCAGCTAGCCGCTAGCAGCTGCTGCCGGCTCATCGCCGGACGGCCGTCGCCACTTGCGCTGCCGCCGCCGCCACTGCCACAGCCGCTGCCGCCGCAGCCACTGCTGCAGCCACTGCCGCCACTGCTGCTGCTGCGGCTGCTGCTGCCGCCACTTGCGCTGCCGCCGCTGCCACTGCCGCAGCCGCTGCCGCCGCTGCCGCTTCCGCAGCCGCTGCTGCGGCTGCCGCAGCCGCCACTTGCGCTGCCGCCGCTGCCACTGCCACCACTGCCGCTGCTGCGACTGCCACTGCCACCGCTTGCGCTGCCGCCGCTGCCGCTGTCGCAGCCGCTGCCGCCACTGCCGCTGCTGTGGCTGCCAATGCCGCCGCTTGCGCTGCCTCCACTGCCACTGCCGCAGCTGCTGCCGCCACAGTCGCTACTGTGGGTGCCGCTGCCGCAGCTGCAGCTGCCAACTGCAGCTGCTTTTGCCACCGCTCCCATGGCTAGCTTGCAGCCGCGCTGTCGTCGCCGTCAGCCAGTGCACCGTAGGCCCGCCGCCGTCGCCACTCTGCCACCAGCTCGCAGCCGCTTCTACCATCGGCTCCCACTGTAGCACCTGTTCCTGCTGCCCCTGTAGGAGTTGCCGCTGCTGTCCCTGCCTTTGTCGCCTCCGTCTTCACGGCCACAGCTGTCATCACACTTGCTTGCATGGCGTCGCCCAACGTCTTCGTTCAAGGCCTGGATGGAAATGGGCGGGCGGTCGGTTTCTCCCCTTGGCAGGAGGCGGTTCTCCTGTAGCTCACGAGTCAGCGCATCGATGATGAGTCCCTAGACGCCCACGTCACTGGTGAGCTCCCTCTAGGCTCCCGCCTGGGCACCCTTGCTGTTGACGTGACGTCTGCGCAGTAGGCTGTGCACGCTGCTACTCGTACCGCCTACTCTGGGGATGGCGGCACAAGCAGTGGCGTTGCGGGACGCCCAGACAAGGTAGGCGGTACAAATAGCAGCGTGCATAGCCTGCTGCGCAGACGTCACGTCTACAGCAAGAGCGCCCAGGCGGGAGCCGAGAGGGAGCTCACCAGTGACGTGGGCATCCAGGGACTCGTCATCGATGCGCTGACTCGTACCGCATGGCGACGCCCAGCGTCTTCGTTCTAGGCCTAGATGGGGATGGGCGGGCGGTCGGTTTCTCCACCTCGCAGGAGGCGGTTCTCCTGCAGCTCACAAGTCAGCGCATCGATGACGAGTCCATGGACGCCCACGTTACTGGTGAGCTCCCTCAAGGCTCCCGCCTGGGCGCTCTTGTTGTTGACGTGATGTCTGCGCAGCAGGCTGTGCTTGCTGCTACCCATACCGCCTACTCTGTCTGGGCGTCCCGCGAGGCCACTGCTCGTGCCGCCATCCTCAGGTGCCTGCCGGTTGATGAGCACTCCCACTTTGTGGGTGTCGCGTCAGCCCACGCACTCTGGCTGGCTATCCTCGCTAGGTACTCCACACTATCGTCTGCCACCCTTGGTCGTCTCCTCCTCCCTTCTTCCACCCCGACCTGACATCCTTCACCACTGTAGCACCTTCGCTCCCTCGTCCTGTAATGAGGCCTACAGCGACGGAAAGTATTGTCCACATGTTTGTGACTTAGAGGAATTTTGCCATTTTAGGGGGTCATGGACATTAAGACTTAATCTTCTGGTGTGCCTAGTGTATGTAGGTTGGGGTAAGGCTCTACGCCCATGCCTTACATCACACAAGTATAATGATGTTTACAACAAATACTAGAAAATAACAATCTTGGTACATGTGGACAATTATTGCCAGGCGCAAGCAGCAAGTTACATCAACCCCAAACTAGTACCTAATCCACCGCCCTTTCGTCTTAGACACCTCCCTCACCCTCCTGGGCATGCTTTCCACCAGGTGGGTGCACGCATCCGCCGGGATCTTCTCCCATTTCACCTGCACCCGCTCCCAAAGGTCCGGCATACCAGTGGGAGGCTTATAAGGCTTGGCCAGCTGCCTCTTGAGATGAGCCCATAAATGCTCCATTGGGTTGAGGTCGGGTGAGGAAGACGGCCACTCTAGCACCCCTGAATCTTACTCTCAAAGCCACTCCTATACGATACGCGACTTGTGCTTCGGGTCGTTGTCGTGCTGGAAGATAGTTTTTGAGGGTGTAAGCTGGTAAAGCTCAATCGTACTGTTGAGATCGTCCTGTAGTATACTCAGCGAGAGCAGTCCGTCCACCCTACCATATGTTTTGCTCATGAAACCCGCTCCCTTTTAGGACATGCAGTTGTAAATTATCAAGCAACCGCCCTCGTGTTTGACGGTCTGCTTGATTTGGTGTCTTTGGAGGGCAGTCCCTTCGTGAACGCAGGCGTATGAGAGTCAGTCGGATGCAAGACGACCGATCTTGGTCTCATCCGCACAGATAACTCGCTTCTAGTCGTCAACCGTCCAGTCTGCGTGGGCACGCGCCCATTCCAGCCTATCGCGTATGTTTTTCCGAGAGTGTCGCGGTTTCTTGGGATGCTTGATTGCGACAAGTCGGCTCCCATTCAAAGCGTTACGCAATGTCTTAGGATGCAACGTGATGCCGTGCTGCTTCTCAACGATTTTCGCCACGTGAGCGGAGATTTCTGCCTCCTCGAGGGTAATCGACCGAACTATGCCGTGGCGAACTCTCTCTGTCACTAAGCGAGGGCGACCGGCTGAGGGCATCGTAGGACGCACATCATCGCGGCTAGACTCTACAATCGCCTTGATGGGCCGAACTCTTCCCTATGGCTAGCTGTTAGCGATTCAACGATTGCTCTACCCCCTCCGCAACAAGGGAATGATCTATGCGTAGAGCGCCTCATCTAACAGTTTCATGACGGCCTAATCATCGCAGCGGTCCTAGCCTATCTCCTGACTACTCGATAGTCGCGAGGGCAAGTAAGAAGAAATAGCGAGGTTAGGAAATAGATCTACTACGCTGCTTGGCCTAAACTGTCCGGAT